CTACCTACCTACCTACCTACCTACCTACCTACCTACCTACCTACCTACCTACCATGTATAGAGTCAGAAAAGATATAAGGGCAACCTATAAAGATTCTGATAGGTGTATGTGTCCATTCCATTTGTGCTGTCATTACTTCTGTCTACACTAAGGATATGTCTGGTGTGGGCCTTCACATTATGCTTGTTTGGGACTGGGTCATCAGCTGCAGGCTTTTGTCTTATTATTTTGTGAATGAATGTTTTGCCTGTGCACCACTTGTGTTACTGGTACCTGCAGAGATCAGAAGAGGACGTTGGATCCCCTAGGACTAGAGTTACAGGATGTTGTGAGTTACTATGTGGGTGCTGGAAATTGAACTCAGGTCCTCTTCAAAAATAAGTACTCTTAACTGCTGAGCCATCTCTCCAGCCTGTCTTCCATACTCTTTAAGTTGAAGGATTCACCAATGTGGGACTTGGTTGTAGCAGTCTATAACCTGCTCTGTATTTCTCTCCAGGTGAAATGAGGTAATTTTTGTCCCCAGAAGGGCTATATTTACTTCTGGAAACTTTAAGTCTGTATTCAGGTTCCCAAGTGGGGGCAGCAGGCAGTGGGCCATGAAATCACAGCAGGTTACAAAGGCAGCTGGTCCCAGGCAGGTAGCTGTGAGGCAGTTGAGTGACAGACCTATTAGGCATGCCATGCAGAGAAAGTGGGTATTTAGTGGGTTATGAAGGGAAAGGCGGGAAGGGGAAAATGGAGAAGAGCAGAGAGAGAAGCAGGGTGGGGGGAGAAGGGAGAGAGGCAGTAGCTGCCTCTTTGGGAGAGACAGAAAGGAGGGAAGGGGCTCAGGCTGGAAGTGGAAGAAAGTGCCTAGGTGGGAGAAGGAGGGAGTGGGTCAGACTTGTCTTCTAAAGGGACAGAAAAGACCATTACACCAGTGGCCCTCAGTTTGTGGATCTAGATGTGGCATTACACAAACTGGTGATGTATCCCTGGAATGCCTCAGAGTGCAAGAAGTAATCAAACCAACTTCTTTAATGGAGGGGATTATGGGAGCCAAGCCTGCTACGAGATAATCTTTATGTACACTATGAAGGTGTGTCGCTGCACCTTCTAATTGGTTTAATAAAGAGCTGAACAGCCAGTAGCTAAGCAGGAGAGGATAGGTAAGGCTTCTGAAAAGAGATAGGAACTCTGGGAAGAGAGGCAGAATTTGCCAGTGAGATAGGGAAATCAGATGTACAGTATGGAAGACAGGTAATGAATCCCATGGCTGAACATAGATGAATATAAATGGGTTAATTGAAGTTATAAGAGCTATTTGGGAACAGGCCTAAGCTAAGGCCAAACTCTCATAATTAATAAGTCTCCATGTCATCATTTGGGAGCTAACAGCCCAAAAATGTCTGACTATACAAGTCCTTTGCCAACTCTGGGTCTTAGGCTATCAGACCTAGCCCATGTGAAACCAGTGACCAGTCTTGATTCCAGTCACAGGAACATTGATGACCTTGTCCCTTGTTCACCTCTTTCCTCCCCCCCCCAACCTGAATTCCTCAGTTATCTATCTATAGTTGGCCCTCAGGGACCTTCTCCCACCTGTGGAGGCCCAAAGAAGTCAAAGGTCTGAGAGTTTTTGGGATTTGTTTCTAGTTCATTCAAGGTTATTGTGTTTCTAACTCAAAGGACCTACCTAGCTGCAAATCAGAGAGTTCTACTTTCTCAAAGCTATTGTCAACATGGGTGGCTAGTTGCCAGACCTTGTGCTCCTGAAATAGGGAAGTAGTTGGTTCCTACCTAAAACAAAAGTCTAAAGATCCATCTAAGTTCCAGTTCCCTTTATGGAAATAACTTGAGATTCCACTCAAACAAAAGTCTAAAGATCCATCTAAGTTCCAGTTCCCTTTATGGAAATAACTTGAGATTCCACTCAGGGAGTGGTTTAACTACAGAGTCTAGGGTGTGAGTGTGATAAATGTAACCCATGGCTTTCAATTTGTATATTAATGCAGTCTTTTGTTTTACTCCTACCTTTTAGGGTCAGGGGTATATTAAGCTGTTGAAAAATTAAAATTCCCTCCCGATATTACCCTATATGCTTCTGTATTTTATTATTTTTACTAGTGTCTTTGTATTCTTTACTATATTTCTAAATTTCCATGTCTCTACTCTGGTGAAAGCTATTTTTTTGTTGAGGCTGCCCCTTCTCTGACATCCACCATCACTTCAGCAATGTATCTATAGGGACCTTGAATTGGGATTACTCATTATTTTCTGATCCTCAGAGCAGTCAGCCTGGATGAAGTACTTCTGATGCACACTTCTCAAGACAGTAACTAGCACTCTGAGGTTTTGCTGGGTGGATGTAATGGATTTCTTCTCCAAAGCTGGCTTGTCTAGAGGACAATTTCAGGCTAATCCTCCTGATAGATTTAGAATGTTCTAAGAATCATTTTTCCCTCTGCAGTTAGAACTGTGGCTTGATGTTACTGTGAGAGGCTGGTATTCTCTGGCTTACTTCACACTTGTGGCCTTCAGTTCTCCTTCTTCCCTGACTTGGGGAGTAGGGACAACTAAAGTGTAAATTGCTTTGTACTTCTTTGCATTTCTCTGTGGTATTTAGGCTTCTTCTCTTTTGTTTCGCAGACTTCTTCCTGTCGTCTTCATTGCTGAGTCTTCTCACTTGTAGAGCTGGATATTACTATCTTGGCCTTTGAATTTTTTTTTTTTTTTGCATGATACTTAAGATATCTTCTTAATTTGACCAGGATTTCCCCACCTCTGTTACTTTGGTTCAAAGCTTCTTTGTAGTGGAGGCTGTCCTACACATGTAGGATATTTGACAGCAGTGTCAATGAAGGCTTAGCTTCAATCAGTTTTGCATACTTTAATGCGTTCCAATAGCGAATAGGGTTGGAGAGAAAGGGACATATTAGGACAAAAGGCTTCTGTCCAAATTTTCTTTTAAATTGTGCTGGCCAAAGTGGCTTCCTCAATATGACAAATACCACATATTTATAGTCTTCTCTTGCTCACTATCTATGATTTAATTAAAATGTTTTAAAGGAGCTGTACTTTATAGTTAGGATTGATTAATGTTCAGTTGTATGATGCTAATTGTTGAACTTGAGTCATTTCGAAGAAATCACAGAACCTTGGTGTCTTAGTATTTGTACAGCATTGTCAAGAATGGAATAACATATTCTTTTTGATAAATTCTTCTCATTAGTTTCAATTATTTGGAAAAATTATGGTAGGCCACGGATTTTTACTATAAAATATGAGTAAGCCTGATACAGTAGGTAAGAAATTTTTACAATTTTAGTGTGGCCTACCTCCAAAATCTTTCCTCTTTATTATAGTGTGGTTACTGCTTTTCCCCTTTCAAAAGAAATCACTAGAACAGAACACTGACACAAAACAACATTCAGAAGTTAAAATACTTTATTATAAACATTTTCAGAATATAAACTAATTTTGTATGAAGACTCTCAAACTTTTAAAACTATATGTAAGATAAGATTATTATAATGTATTTCACTTTCCAACCCAGGAAATACACTGCAAGTTAGATCTAAAAAAGAATATCTAAATTGCTTCATAGAGAAAGTCAGTGAGCATAAAAATATGTGACTCAAAACTAAAACCCAACCAAGAAACAGATTCCACAGTCTGTTAATCCTTCAATTTTAAATAAATGATCTCCCAAGGGAAAATAATTCCACTACCACAGCAATTTGGTGAATAAAGCAGAGTCACTCTGGGAAATTCTATCATATGTAAGAAAAATTAATAGAGCTTTTAGAAATAGAAAAGTAATCTCCATGTTGGAAAACAAGCATAGTAAATTCTTCATGTTCACTCCATTAGAAGCTGAGACTTCTGTCCACACATGAAAGTGACATGAACAAGAATGTATATAACCAAGCTCTTCAGATGTTCTTTCAGTTGAGCCTCAGGAGAAGTGACTAAGGAGCTTCAAAATCCAAGGATAGACTGGTCCCAGAGCATCTCCTCCTCTGTCCTTTCTTCACCTTGTTCCTTTTTCTCCTTTTTACGCTTACGGTCCTCTTTCTTAGAGGATACATCTCGGCTTTTTCTTTCTTTTCGATTCTTAAGTTTTTCTGTACTGTCCTGCACAGCTTCTGTTTCTGTCTTTGTTTTTTTTCTTTGTACGCTCCTCTGTTTGTTTAAATCCATTTCCTCTGAACTCCTTTTCCTCTCATGTCTGGACCATTCTTCCTCCTTTTCTCTGCTCTCTTCCAGATGTCTTTTCCTCTTCTGGTGCATTTGTCTATGACTGGCTTGAGGGTCAATGGTACTGTGTCCTGAGTAGAGGTGCTTGTGAACTACAGACTCCACGCTATACGAACCACAATTGTATTCTTGATGACTAAGGTTCAAGGGGACTGGTTTTTCTGAGAAGCCATCCCTGGTGAACTGACAGTAGCTCAGAGAGTCTAAACCCAGATTTCCATGAGCTGGTAACCACTGGGGTAAATGATCTTCTGTCTGGGAACTACTGCATGATCTTGGGTAGTTATGGTTGGTTCCAGATGGGAGTCTTTGATCAAACATCCTATATCTGGGTCTGGAATCAAACTCTTCTCTGTACTCACAGCTTTCCAAATAGTCCCCTCTCATCCTTCTGAAACACGTCTTTGGCTCTAAGCCTCTGGCTTTCTGTACTTTAATATAATCTTCAAGTTCATCTTGAAAAGAGTCATATGACTTATTTGAATGCTTCATTAGGTTGACAAAAAGGGATTCTCTGTAGAAAAGATGGGAAAAAAAACTAGATTATTTTCTTCTGAAAAATTCATTGTTCTTAGAAAGGTTAAAATAACAAAATACCAAATTAAAACCTACTTCAACAGTGCTAAGTGTTTTGAAAATATCTATCAAAGAGTAGTATCATGATAGTCAAATATCTCACAAACCACTCACAAATAACTTTACTATTCTTCTACACTGAAAGAAAAAGTATAGAAAAGAGCTGACACACGGGATGCTTTCATTGAACCAAAAATGTAACACTACAGGGATGTGTGAAGTGGCCTGATCTAAATGTTAGATAATTTCTAAAGCTGTGATGACTTTGTTTCATGTATTGTTTTCTAAGTAACAGAACCACAATGAAGAAACTTAATCTTTAGAATCCTGTTTGCTTAAATAAACATATATACTTACCTGACTACAGTACTCTAAGGCTTACTAATGAACATTTGTGATTTAGGAATGATGGAAATGATAAATTCAGCTACAAGATAAGAACTACACTTAGGGATAGGGTGTGAGGGAGGATGAACAGAATAGAGTTCTATGGCATCTGTATAGCACTTGGATTCCCCTCTATTACTTCTGACTGGTACAAAGGCATTCTAGAATGCCTTTTGGTTTGTTCTCTCCAAGAGTATAAGTACGAGGAGGAAACAGAGGAGGAAGTGGAGATGGCTACAATAAGGACAAAACTCATGAGAAACATTTCAGAAGAAACTCACACATAACAGAATTTTTGATTTTTTTCTTTTCTTTTCTTGTTTTTTTTTAAATACTTTATTATATATACAACATTCTGCCTCCATGTATGCCTGCAGGCCAGAAGAGGGCACCAGATCTCATTACAGATGGTTGTGAGCTACCATGTGCTTGCTGGGAATTGAACTCAGGTCCTCTGGAAGAACAGTCAGTGCTCTTAACCACTAAGCCATTTCTCCAGCCCTGATTTTTTTCTTGATAGGAGGAAACAGCAACTATTTCTTATTCTCTTTCTATTTTCCCTATAAAACTAGGAGGGAGCAAGTAAAACCCCATGTACAATTGAATATTTCTTTCCTTTTAAAAAGTACAGTCCAACAATGTACTCCAGAGTCACAACTGACCAGTGATTATTCTAAAAATGGGAAAATGGTCTAACTAAAACCTATTTTGGTGAATTAGATAAATTAGGTGCCATTTTAGTTTGAGAAGCATAAAAACTCTGACTAGGATAGTAACAATAAACATGATGAGACAAGGACATAATATTTTGATACTTCAGAAGAGTAGATATACAAAGAGTCAACAAACACAGGAAAAGATGCTGCAGATCATTAGATATAAAATAAATGCCAATTAAAACCACAGTGAGGGATCGCTACACATTCACTGGAATGACTGAAAGACTGACAGTGTTTGGTGAGAAGGTGGAACAACTACAATTATGACCTCTCTGGCAGGAATGGTAAAGGGTACAATCATTCAGGAAACAGTTCAGCAGATTCTTCTTTTTTTTCTTTCTGGTTTTTCAATACAGGGTTTCACTGTGTAGCCCCATCTGTCCTGGAACTAGCTCTTCTAGACCAGGCTGACCTCCAACTCGGAGCTCTCTCTGCCTCTGCCACCCAAGTGCTGGGATTAAAGGTGTACACCACTAGCTTTTTGTTTTAATTCAGCAGCTTCTTAACCAAGTAAGTTACATACACACTTATGTAATGACCTAGTTTTACCATTCAGAGACATTCACCCCAAAGAGAAGGATGTCTATATAAGACTTAAACTTGAGTGCACATAGTAATTTTATTTTTAATGGCCTCAGAAAGGAAAAACAGAAACAAAAAACCAAAAACACCCAAATGTAAACCAGTAAGTAAATGGGGAAAGCAATTGATGGTCTAACTACCTAATGAAAGAAACATTATCAGTGATAAAAGTAGAAACAGCCCCAACATTCACCCACTGACAACTGGACAAAGTGGATGAACCTTGGAGAGACACTATGCCAAGTAAAACAACCTAGTCCCTAAAGATCTCAGATGGCACACATGTGAGTGAAACCCTACCATTATCAGGTTGAGAACTTGATGGTGAAATTTGATCATATTCAACCATTAACGGTGTCAGTTTTTCAGCATGAATGCTCCATAAAATGAAGTTTACAACAACCAGGGAGCTAAATCATGGAGCAGAGATTACATCTATTTTTGTCTAACACTCAACTCCCATTCATCTGAAACCAAGCACGATTTTGCCACAAAGATTAAACATTTATATCCACACAACCAACATATATCGATCTCCAAAGTTCATCTTTACTGTTTTGCTGTCAATCTGAAACTATTTTTACAGTTATTTATTGTGTGTGCATGCATGTGTGTACATGTGTAGAGGTCAAAGAACAACATGCATGAATCAATCACTGTTTTGCAGTCAATATGAAACTATTTTTACAGTTGCGTGTGTGTTTGTGTGCATGTGTGTGTGCATGTATAGAAGTCAAAGGACAACTTCCATGAATCAATCACTTCTCCCTACCCTGTTGGTTCTGGGAATCAAACTCAGATTGTCAGGCTCCAGAGGCACTGTACCACCTTGCCAGCCACAAAAAACTCATTTTTGTTTCTTTGTTTCATTTTTGAGACAGGGTCTCTCTCTCTCTCTACATAGCCCTGTTAGTCCTGAAACTTACTCTGTGGACCAGGCTGGCCTCAAATTCACAAAGATTCCCCTGTCTCTGCCTCCCAAGTGCTGGGATTAAATATCTGGAGAATATTTCTTTTTTAAACTCTGAAAAATACATTTTGATAAAGAATGCATCGTACCTAATATTATCCTTCTTGTCCTCCATTTTGGTTTCTCCAGAATTACTTAGCCCTGTAGGAACTCCTCTCTTCAGTATACTTAATCCCCTAGGGACCTCTTCATGCTGACCCAGTGTCTACCTAGTTCTTTGCTACCACCTACCTATTTCAGCATTCCTTCTAGTCCATTTCTTTATGACACCCACCAGCTTGCAGAACCACTCTCTACTAGGGACCCCACAGTGGCCACACTAGGCTGGGATCTCAGATCAGTGCATTTCTCTGATCATTACTCTCATCAGAGAAACTTCTTGCTTTCAAAGTAGATGAGAATCAACACAGAGAGCCATGTGTGGACAATGTGTGGAGAATGACAGATTTTGAAGAACTCAGTCCTAAACAGGATGTCTTCATTAAACTCCTATCGTTAAGGTTCAGGTATCAATGTGGAACAGAATACAAAAAGAATTTAAGAGTCAGAGGTGATGGATGACTCCAAGAAAACTCCTTGGAGACAACAGCAGGATAATGCACATATGAATTTAGATTGCGGCAGCATATACAAGATCTGCATAGGTTCAAGACAGATGGGAGTCTCAGCACTGAAAAGGGAAAGTGGACACAAAGTTCAAGCCATGTCTAGAATATACACAAAGTCTGGATTATGTATATTATTGTGTTTTCTTTAAAATTTTTGACTGTGAAAGGGCTAAGTACAGAGAGATATTTCATTGTATGGGCTGCTAAGCTAGATCAACATATATGTTTTAAAGGTATCTAAACTTCAAAATTTGGGTCTAAGGATTTGTTGCTTTGGAAGAGATTCTTCTTTTGTTTCCCCAGAAGGCATGAACCTGTGGATTCCTTCCAGACTAATGTGGTTTGATGGACCAAGAGCCCCTGAAAGGTCACCATGAATAACCCCCGCAAGTTACTTTGTCCAGCAAAAAGCAAAAGCAATTTGAAAAGAACTATGCCCAAATTCCCAAATATTGTTTATAAATGTTTGTTTACATTTAAAGGGGGGGTATGCTATAGAGAAGAATACTTTGCATTGGTATGGATCTTGGTTTATTGATGCAAATTTAGGTCAATTTTGTTATATGTATATATCTGCTCTTGATTAAGGTATTGTGTTTGTGTAGTTCATGTAAAAATGTAAGCATAATTAAGAAATACAAGTTAATAGATAGCCATCTATAATAGTCAAGCTTGTAGTCATGTTAGATTTTCTAGATATATAGAGATATATTTCAGTCAGATAATCTTCAATACTTTCAAAGATCTACAGAACATGTCATTTAAATAACTTAGGACTTTCCATGACAATGAGACATATCTGCTTCAGGCATCACCAATCTACTTCAAGAGGAAGATGGGCATTGAAGAGGCTACTTATGAAGTTGGTTAGCCATTTGGGCAAGAAACTGCTCTTGCCTGAATTGTTTGACTAAACTTGCAGGACTCACAGAAAAATGACTGCTGAAGCTGCCTAAAGAAGGTGAGACAGTCCTTCGGGGTTCCTGCTTCATGAAAGAGTCTGCCAAATATCTTGCAGGACAAAGAAGAAAGTGACTGACAAATTGTCAATACAGGCAGAACTGCCTTTGAAATCTGTTTCATTGAAAAGTCTGCTGGATACTATGGGCCTGTAGGCTGAAGATGGTTGCTGCAATGTTACAGAAGAACTTTGGGTGAGCATCCAGGCAGCGAGATGTCTCTGTCAATTCTAGAGTTTTGGAAGTTGCTTACAATGCAGTTCCTGTTAACTTAGGCAATATTATATCCTTCTATGGTCTTTGATGAAGTTGAAAAATAGTTATAATTATAGTTTTTCTTAGTTATGATAAAAGATAGATATAAATATTGTAACTGTAATTATTGCTTGATACCTGTCTTGTTATATGTAATTTTACTATGTTAAAGATAAAACCTTCCTTTTTATTTAAACAGAAAAGGGGAAATGATGTGGGAAGTCCTTCTATGTGGTGCTTTTATTGGTTAATGAATAAATGTGTTTTGGTCAGTGGCTTAGCAGAACAGCACAAGGCAGGAGTTCAAAGCAGATAGAGAAGGAAAGAGCAGGTGGACTCAGGGAGAAGCCATGTAGCAGCCCTCAGGAGACAAAGGCACCAAAACCTTGCCAGTAAGCCACAGCCACGTGGTAATACACAGATTAATAGAAATGAGTTAATTTAAGATATAAGAGTAA